GGTGAAATGCCCCAGGGCTCCAGTGTGTAGGCTATTGCAGTTCTGTTGAGCTGGAGGGAAGCTTATACCAAGAAAACTATTATCCATGTGGACAGAACAGGTAGTGGCTGAATGAAAGGAAGAACCATTGTCTCCATTTGATATTAGAGAATTTGATACTGAGATAATACAAATTCATTGATTAGTCCAGGCGGGGGATATGTAGCAGAGCTGGGATTTGGCATAGAGCTCTGGGATCCCAGTCAAACACTTCAATCACATAACTATCTTTCCTGCACCCCTCTCCAAGCACAAAGCATTTCATTCTGTTCCGCAGCACCAGCTCCACTCTCTCGTTGAAGCTGGATTTGCTAGAATTAATGGCATGTTTGTGTACTGCAAAAGCAAAAGATTAACCCACCTCCCCTTACTGTAAAATAACAGGTGCCTTGCAGGCATAAACCAAACTTCAGCTCTTCTTTACAAAACACATCTTTACCAATTCTTAAAATCGCTTTTGAGGCTTTTACATGTGGTTCCTTACTCCCTGTGCCAGCAGGTGGGAGAGGAAGCATCCATAAATCCTGATCATTCTGAAGATTTTTGTATATCCTCTAGACTCCAGCATTGAATCTCTTTTTTCTCCCTTGAGCTAATGCTCCAGTAGCTGCGTCCTGACTTTCAAATATATTAACTGAGTTGCCAATCATCATTAAAATTTTTTTCTTAGCAATCTTCCAGCTTTACTTTAGCAATCCTCTTGTCTCTTTCAAACTCCAAAATCCACATTGCAGAAAAATCACTGTTTAAGGGCTGAATTTTGTGGGGGAGAAAAAAAAAAAAAAAGCCAGTCTCATGACTGAAGATTCACTCAGTCTCAGGTCAGCCTTTTTCCAGCTTCCCCTGGAATGCAAATGACTTTTAGTCTGTGAAACTGTGAGGATTTCCTGTACACTAGGCACTTGTGACAGTTGAATCAACTTACTGGATACCCTAGGGGGTTCTTCAGGCTATCCTTGCAGAAGTTTGAGATGGTCTCCAACGTAACAAACAAGTAGTGAAGTTTTCCTTTTCCTTGAAGATTCAGCTTGCAGAATAGAGTAGGGTACTGACTAAGCCTGCGGAGAATGACCTGTAAAACACCTGGATCAGCAGGTCTGTGTGCAGGGGGCAGTGGCCCAGGCCTGCAATGTTGACGAGGGGGTGGAAGACAGGTTTAGGAGATTGGAGATGCCAGTTCTCATTCCAGTTCTGCCACTGAGTCACTGATATCAATAAATCAAGTTCGTGAATAGCTAGCAGAAGCATAATTTGCAGAGGAAAGAAAAGGATTTGAGTCTAGAATGGAATGACACAGTTTGCAACAAGTCCACATGGACCTCTTCCGATTCTTGCAAGACCAAATTTTCCCAAACAAAGGTCAGTTTCTAATATGCACTATGATTTGCATGACTTAATATGTGGCATGCCTCGAAATAAAATGCAAATTATTCTTAGTAAAAGCTTATTCATCCCCAGATGTTATTGTGCTCTAGGGTGTCAGCTACCTGTAACATTCCTCTGTGTCCTGCTTGCAGCTGTGATAGAGTTAATTTTCTTCCTAGCAGCTGGCACAGTTCTGTGTTTTGGATTTAGTATGACAAGATTGTTGTTGAAACACTGATATTTTAGTTGCTGCTAAATAGTGCTTTCTCTAAACCAAGGATTTGTCAGCTCCCCATGCTCTGCTAGTGAGGAAGTGCACAAGAAGCCTGGAGGGAGCATGGCTGGGACAGGTGACCCAAATTAGCCAGAGGGTTATTCCATACCACAGAGCCGCGAGTATGCTCAGTAAATAAACTGGGGGGAGTTGGTCAGGAGGAGTAAATTACAGCTGGAGACAAGGTAGGCATCACTCAGAGGGTGGTGAGCAACTGTGCATCACTTCTTTCTGTTGGATTTTATTTCCACCTCTTTTTCCTGTTCATCATCATTTCTACTACTACTACTATTATTATTACCCTCATCATTATATTTTGTTCAATTATTAAGCTGTCCTTCTGTCAACCCATAACTTAATACTTTTTTTTTTTTCTGATTCTCCTCCCCATCGCACTGGGCTGGGGGAGTGAGCAAGCAGCTGAGTCATACTTAGTTGCCAGCTAGGTCAAGCCACAACACTTTGAAACCCCAAGTCCAGCAGCTCTGGACGAGCATTCGAGCACAGAAGTACTTCTTCACAGTCTCAGGGCTTAGAAGTGTTGCAGTATGTTTTCAAATGCTGGGGTTGGAATCCACCTTCTTTTTCTCAGGGTGATTAATAGGTTTACCTTCAGATATCCTAGAGGAAAGTTTTAATTCTAACTATCTAGCTGTGAGAAGATGTGATGCACTCAGTGTGTTTTCTTCTAGGAAAGAAGAAATTATGCTGGGAGATTCCTGAAACTGTGCTTTACTGAGACAGAATGAGGTCTTAGAACCCATTCTAAATTGTTGAATTAATTAAGCCTTTTTGTGCTAGCAGTGACTTAACCAGGTGAACCACTGAAAAAAAGACCTGACACAGGTGTTGAAGCCTGAGGGAATCCCTGCCACTTATTACAGCTTTAGGGCCGTAACTTCCCAACAGTCTTGCTCACGCTGCCAAAAAGGGCAGGCTGAAAAATAATGTCCTCAAGAAAATTGTTGGCATGGCAGAACACGCATTGCAGAGCTCTGGAACCATACAAATCAATTAATCATGTCTCATTGCTTCAGCTACTTTTGGGTTTAGACTTTTAAAACTTTATGTGTGCATGCTGTCCTTGAATTGAAGAGGCACAATACCTTCATGTTTCCCAAGAAAGTTCTTAGGAAAAAATTTTTTTAAAAAGGGGTTGAAAATAAACAAAGTGACAATGTTTTCTTACTGTGCAAGATGGTTTCTTTGTGACAAAAGACTCTTTAAAGACATTCTTCATACAACAGAAGTTACTGTGAATACAAATAGTCACTCCAGTGAGATAAAGTGGTGGTTCTGGAATGATGTACTTAGAGAGAAAAAAAAAGAAAAAGAGAAGGCATCTAACACAAATAGTAATTAAAAAAAAACATCAGAAGAAGGAAAGAAGAATCACATTTCTGTACATAAGAGTAATAATAAAAAAAAAGTACCTTTTCAGTTTACTTTCATTTACCAATGTTTTATACCTGATAGCTCTTGGTTTAATTCCAAGTTTCCTCTATTGTTATTGACAGAAGAACCAAATGCACTTGCTTTAACTGAGTGTAGTGTTGAAAGAAGAACATTAATTTGAGAACTGGATGATTGTGTATGCAGCAGGATGGATCAACTCCACTGAGTTTAAGAGGATGATGAATGGTACAACAAACAATGATGGACACATACTCAAGTGTATTCATATTGCTAAATTTTGATTTAGAATGCAACCCATTACTGGGTTTGCTCAAGTGCCCACATTGTAACAATACAAATAACTTGAAATTGTTTGTGATAGAATACTGTAGAAATCTCAGATAGCAAAACTTTTGACAGTAATGTCTTTTTTCACGCATGAAAACCAAACATGCTTTCCTATCTGTGGAGGTCCAAAATCAATGACCAGCTCTGCCCTAAGCATGCATATGTTAAATCTGCTGAATTGGTAAGTATTGCAGATCATAAAATTCCTGCATCTCTTCTGGCACGCAAGCTATATTTATTTCTGGCTCTACCTTCCTGTTGTTAGTTCTAATGACTTTTCTCCATAAGAGTGGAAACAGTCGATGTAAAATGATTAGATAGTCATAAAAATTGCTGATTTCTAGCAATTCCTGGTCTGCAACGACCCACTGTCTCAGCTTCAAACACTCTGCTAATGGCATCTAGAAAATACACATCCAAAAAATAAACCTAGCAAAAATTAAGGCTGCCCTTTATGGGTTTATTGCATTTTTCTTCCAGGAAAAATATTAAATCTCCCCTCAAGAGAGATGTCACAGTAAAAATTTCTTTGCTAGAATGACATTTCCTTCCTTTGGTCTTTACTTCTGAGGCCCTTCAACCTCACACAGTATCTTATCACAGAAGGAGCCAAATGGGTTCCTCTCTTTGTAAATTTGAATTCAAACCTTTCGACTGGCATACAAAGACTTGAAATCATTGAATGGACAAAGTGCTTTCCTTTCTTACTATGGTGCCTGTATGAAAAGGACTAGATCTGGATTACCCTAGTGGAGACTCAGTTTATTTCCATATTATTACTTTCCTTCTTTATTTTTCTGAAAGCTCACTGCTGCCCAGCAGTTTCTAGTCATGCTTTGGCTTCAGCTCCTAAAAATTTCACTCTTTATATGAGTGTTTAAACAAGCAAGCCCTTGTGAGCAACTCACAAATTATTAGCCAATGCCAAGAAATAGAGGAATGTATACATCCAGATCATGTTGCCAGTTAGTAACTCTGGCAGCTTCTGAGCCACCTCTTGGTGTCCATCCTGGATAGCAGAGTATTTGTAGAAGGCTGAAAAAGCTGTTTTTCTAATTCACATTACATGCACCCTTGTTCTTGGACTCATGATAGCCATCTATTGAGTGTCTAATTCGTGCAGAATGCAGTACCATACTGTGAAATAGGTACCCTTTTAAGGGCAGTATGCAGCCAAAACAGCTCCACAGTTAAAACGCTATTTGTTATAGAGATTAGAGATTATTATATCTTTGTTGCAAAGAAAGGCACAGCCTGGAGAATACTGACCAAAGTATAACTTCAACTAGTCTCATAATAAAACATCATTTCTACCATGGAATGAAATGCTGTCATGCAAAACTGCAGAGAGTGCAGTAAGGAAACAATGCTTCCAGCCAAGGGCAGAACTGGAGAATTTTCATCATTATAGAACATAGCAGGTGACAGACATCTCCTAGAGACAGCTTGCATCATTCAAATAACTAATTTATGAGGGTTTAAAATAAGATACTGTCTTATATAATCAGGTATTAAAATGTCATTTCTCATATGTAAGTTTTTGTTTGCTTTTACTAAAACAACACTTGCAAATATTTACCTGAATCATCTACTCTCAGCTTTTTACTGGGATTGTCACCACTGTCATCATCGGACATTTCCATCTCCTCTTCCCGGCGGATTCCCATGAGCTGTTCACTGTGAGCATTTCGGAGCTCCTAAAAGCCAAAATTACCTTTTGTCAGTATTAACTTCCATAAAGTTATTATGCATTATTTAGTATCTGTTTTTAATACTGATCTGATTTTAATTATACATCATTTATCATTGTAATCATATTTATTTGTGTATGAATATTTATAAAAACAGAAGCACAGGGAATTATTCCTGTGAAAGAACTGAGTTTATCAAAGGTAACATTCAGGGAAAACAAGAGAAAAAGTGACTTTCCCTGTTGAGTGATCTTTAGGCCTGCTAAACATAGGAAAAATGTTTTAACAGCAGGGATAATACTTAAAACTGTGTATAAAGCAGACTGATAAAGAGATTGTCAGCTTGCTTAAGGGCCAGCTAATTCTTGCTTCCCTCTGCCACTTGGGGTAAGATTAATTTGGCCAAATGTAGGTGTCTGCATCACACAAAGTTTTAACTTTTAACTAAAGTTTTAACTTTTAACTAAAATGCACCCTTAAAGTGCCTTGTTCTCTCTGCTGATTGCAAAGGGAGCCGAGTGCAGACAGTGCAGATGAAGAGCTGTGCATTTTTAAGTGCCTAATGCTGGTCAAAGGAATCTCACCCTCTGTCCCTATGCCCAGACTGCCTTGGACTTAAAAGACCTGGTCCCACAACGCTGGCCTGAAATTCCTTGCATCTTGATCCAAAAGGAGTGGCAGCAGGGACAGCTCGGTCTCCGGGTGACCGCTGCAAGGGCAGGCAGGCATCCCCTGCACATGTCACCAGGAAAAGGATCAGCAGGCACGCGGGCTTTGTAGGAGTCTAGACGGTCTTTGTTCTGGGTAGAAAAGCTGGCGCGGGTGTAGCGGCTGCCTTTTTAATGGCAGCACTGAGAAGATTGAGAGGACTCTATTTTGTCCTAATAATCCTGTCAGGTGTAACATGAGGATGCTGCACTGTGATTAGTGTAGGCTTTGTCCACCCGCAGACAGCTAATTTTTCTGCCAACAAAGAGCTTAATTCCCAAAGAGGTGGTTTGAAGTCTTTGAAACAAGGGAGAGTCGTGTGGTAGGAGGAGACAGCATTGAGGAGCCCGACAACAGCTCTGTGCAATTAACAATAATCTGTCAGAGAGGTGCTGCGTGAAAAAAAGGGAAGGCGTTTCTCTTGAGCTGTACCCTTGGTTCATCGGCAGATCTCAAATATTCTGAAAAATGTATCTGTACTCATTAATTCCAGCAAAGGCAAGGAACATAATTAGTGGGTGTTTTACAGGGAATAACTTCAAATTTAAAAAAAAATATTAAAAGGCTAAATTGTCAACCAGTATCTAATGAAACCAGAAGCATCTCTGGAAGAAATTGGCAAGCCATTTCTGACTTCCTTTGTGGAAAAGGCCCCCTGCACATTTTCCTGGGGAAGGACACTGCATATATGCGTAGACATCCTCTTACATTTACTCCTCATTAGTGGACAAATGTTCTTGTTGCATCAGTGTCTACATTATCAGCAAAGTCAATGATTTTCTATGGGGAATGTCTATGTGTATGAGTCTTTTCTTTGCCTTGGGTTTCTAGCAAAGCTTTTCTAAATTCAGGAAAAAACTGGAAAGTGATCAAGTAATTAAGCAAATCAGCAGATAGTATCATGGTTAGAAGCTACAATTTAAATAAAATATACCATTTATTTCCATCACATTTCATATCTGAAAAACAGTCATTTCCAAAATATATTGGTTTAGCTAGATGCTTTACATAATTTTGAATTGTTTAATTGTTGTCCTTTTAAAATCAAAAGGCAGTAATTTTTGAAAAAAATTAATAGAGAATTAACATTTCTGGAAAGTCCAACTCTTATACATTTCAGTTTATTAAATATTTAGAAACCAGCAAATGAATGACACACCACATCCCTTTATAGAAAGTTAGTTTAAGAAGGGATGATCTTAATATTATTATTAAAGTAATCTACTAGCAAATAATATTTTCATATTTCTCTAAAAGATAAGACAAAGATCAATCCCCAATTTCCCAACTTTCAATTGAACAAAGGCATTATCCACTATGTATATGAAATATTTGTGAACAAAATGCAAAATACAGTTTGCACTAATAAATTATGCTAACATTTTATTTTAAGTGTCCCATTATTGAAGTAGTTTTGTATTCACCATAATAGCAGTGATAATAAAGTATTCATTTGGTATTCATGTAGATGTTACATTTAGTGCCATTGGTATTCAACTGTAATTTAGCATTAGTTAATGGACACTTAAAATGTTATCCAAATGATTTATATCACAGCACTTCAGTGTTTCTCAAACTAAGCGTACAACACTTATTTTACAAGTGTACTACAAAATAATTAAATAAGTGCACCTTACCTTCTAAAGTTTTTATTCTGAGACAAAGAAAAATCATTTAGAGGACTGTGATAGTAACAATCAACACACTGTACCACATGGCGGTAAACCAAGTGTATGTAAATTGCTCATATTAAAATTTAAAAAAAAGGAAGAAGAAAGAAGGAAAGAAAACAAAGACAGCGGTACTTACTTTTTAAAATACAGGCTCATAGCGTATATACTGAATTAAAATCGAAAGCTGGATGACCAAAACACAGGATGACGTCTAGCACTTCCTTTGCTGCCACTCACAGCAAGGGGAGTTAGAATTTCATTTCCTCTGCTCATGCTTATGACAGTCACACATGCATGGTCCCACACTGCTAACTATGTGTGGTTGTATGATTACATTTATACTGGTTTCTTTGCAAGCATAATAATTAGAATCAACATAAGTGATGTATCTACTTTTTTAAAGATAAACATAGAACAAATGGGAAGGAATAGGGTACAGTTACGGACTTAATATTCTGAAGTCATTAATTAGGAAAGTAATTTTTTATTTTATTTTCACTCAAAGTCATCTTATAATGATCGTAAGATGGCACAGTGAAAAAAAAAATCTTTGCCACAGAATTCTTCTTTTAGAAACAGATCACGTTGACTCCTAAATTCATTATTTGAAAATATTGTTCCTAATTTCACTATGTCAGTTCATTATTTTAGATAGTAAAGATAATCTTCTAATGATTTCCCAAATTTTGCATGAAAAATAAAAACACATTGCTCCCTGTCTTCATGTTGTTTAATGACTATTACCATAATGAGAGCAATGGGAGCAATTCATACTGTAGACGAGACTGCAAACGGCCAGTTGATTAACAGCTAAAATGGTAGCTGTAAATATTGCCAAATACACTATGTCCAGCTACAATCACACTCGTTCTGTGTCAATCCAGCTGTGAGATGATGGATAGAAAGAAAAAATAAAATCACCAACCTCAGAATGCTTTCGCCAAATGTCTATGTTCTTTCGCTGGGCTTTCGAGAAATGGTCCCAAGCTTTTTGTCTGGTAGAAGCGTTGAAAACGGCGACAATCTGCTCAACTTTGGTGAACAAGGAAGTCAAACAAGACAAGCAATTTATGTTGTGATCACTATAGAGAAGCAAAGCAAAGACACTAGGAGTCTATGGATGATGTCATTACTGAAACAACATCATCAATATCCATCCAATGACGTGTCTTTCGTACTTACATTTTATCAATGTTGGAGATGTCTCCCTTCAAGTCTGTCTCCACAACTTTAGTCTACACAACTCTTAACTATGCACCAAGAACCAGGCATGCAGCTGCTTCCCCATGATGTCTGCTATTACTCCCTGTGCTGGCACACGCCTTTGCGTGTGTGGCAATAGGTGTGTGACCACAGAAATGACCCTCGAGACATCCACCTGACACGTGTTTTCCCGTGGCAGCAGCATAGAGATGAGCGGGCTGCATGGACAGAAACGTGGAGGGCAGGCAGGCTCTGCTTTGAAGGGTGACTATCTGATAGTGGGAACTTGTCAGTGGGTGGGAAGGGCTAAACGTCCCACCTGGAGGAGGCTAAACCTTCTACCTGCAGGTACATCAACCCTGCACTCTGTGGCTGCAGCTGCTGCTTCTCCTCCACTCAGTATCAAAGGGCTCACCTGTGGTAGATCATAGCTGTCTCCACGGCCTATGTATGGTTACTTACATGAACAGACACTTTTTTCTTTCATATAAAGTGAAGAACAGATGTGAAATGGGTTTCCCTCATTCAACCCTAATGAATTTGTTCTGAAGCCAAACGTTAATATTTCCATCAGTTTTCTAGGATAATTAAGATCCTCGAGTTTTTAGCTATTTGTTATCTCAGTTGAGAAAGCTTTTCTCTCAACAATTTCTTTCTCTTCACTTCAGTTACAAGTAAAATTGTCCTTCCACAACAGTGACCTGCCTAAAAATGATTTGGCCAGGATGTAAGTCACCTTGATCTCAGCACAATTAACTGAAGAAAACACCAACAAATCCAGATTTTCTACAATCTCGACTGTGCTCATGAATGAGCAGCTGTGACAACCTATGAACTCCAACTCTTTGACAAATTTCTTTGCTATCTATCTCTTTAGATTCCTGGATGGAAACAATGTCCTTTCTTTATCAAGTGGCAGCTTGCAGCACTTTTTGCTCCTCTCACTGAAAAGTGGTGGCGAGAGTGCTATAACACCCTCTGCCCTGGTCTGTTATATTGCTCATCTAGGGCTTCTCTCATTCTTCCCTTAAGTCAGAGATGTAGAGAATGTGATTATACATAGCAACCTATCCTTCATGGAATGGTGAGCTCACCTACTGAAGCAGTATCTTTCACCTCTAGAACAGAAAGTTAATCTCTCTCATTTGAGCACATTTCTTCTATTCTCTGTTTTTTACCCCTTTTGAAGGCTGCTTTCAAATTCCAGAAAATTACAACATTTTGAATGGAAGTTTTTATTTCAGGGGTGATTAATTACCTTCTAAAATCGTAGAAAATAATTGTAGTTCATTTTCTTTTAAAATGAATACATATAGGTAGCTTACAATACAGAAAGTGTTTCAGACCTACAGTGATGATCTTATCCATTTGTAATCCATTCAACTTTTAAAGGTAGATGTGATAATTTCAGCCCATTATAACTTGCTTAGACTAAAGAGTAGATGTATCAAGGAAGTAATGCTGTGTATATTTTTTCAATTAATTTGAAAAGAATGAAAATGGTAAAGCACTCTATTATTATGTGTATAGAAATTGAAGCTAGAATTTAATTACTGTCATTCTGTTGATGACCCAGGTGCTCAGAAAATTTTGCTTAATTAACAATCTGTTTTCAGTTTGCAAGTGGAAATTCAAGTAGAAAAGATTAAAAAAGATATGAGGAAGAGCTGGTTTGCCATTTTCTACTAATAAGTATTAATAAGATCATCTGAATTTTGAAAAACATTTGAACTTTAAAGTGTTTAATTTCCATTATGTGAACAGGTGCTAAGATTTATCAAAAGTCATTATCTGATCATTTCAGAAACTTTCCTCAATGGACTCACAAGCTAGGAAGATGCCATAGCTTCTTGTATAACTGCAGTAGACAAAGGGAATACTAAAAGGATCTTACTCACCTAACTTTTTGGAACTAAAAAAGTGATGAGAGGTAGGATAGTATGAGTACAACATGCTAAAAATCAAGCCATTTAAAGAAACTTTAGGAAACAGGTAGCAAGGGATAATAAAAAAGAAGATGCAGAGGACAATACTAAATGAGTATGTATCAAGGACCAACATAGCAGTGCTCTATTCAAACAAAGTGTCAATGTATGCACAAAAATTTCAATATTCACAGAGATCTAGGCTATGAAGCTTTGCAAATTCCAGCATAAAAGGTCTCCAAGAATTACATTGGAGCTAAACAGCAGCCAAGGCCATGGTTTGACAGTACAGGGAAGTGCCTCCACATCTTTTTGTACTGCACCAAAATCCTGAATTCACGTGTTATGAGACGGCAATTCAACGTAAACCTGCTCTGCCACATTTGTTCTTGTTGCACCAAGACTCATTTGTTTTTCCATAGGTACCCTGGAGGCCTAAAGCTGGCATAATGCTTGTGCTCTGTGAAACTGGAAGACAAGATATGATGTACCCACACCTGATCAGGATCAAATTTGTATGGGTAAGTGATCCAGCAGCACACAGCCCATAGGGATGGTAGATTGACCCCTGAGGAGAAACCATGAAAGGTTTATATTAGCTGAGAAACTCTGCAGTTAACTAATTTTTTGTCTGTGTCTGGGTAAAGCTTGGCCAAAGAGAGGCCCCAGATTTTGGGCTGATATCTTCATAATCTGAGCCTCACTGCTGACCATGGTTTTCAGATTATTTCTGATCTCCAGGAAGAAATTTCCAAAACTATATAACAGGTCATATCTATCTCTCCAAGGCACCTTGAACTCCAGAATGCACTGTAGTGTCAACTGTGACTGGTAAGTAGAATTATTAAGTAACATGAAATATTCATTGTCAAACATCTGTTAGTGAGTTCTATGCTATATCAAATTTTCATTGACCATATGCAAAGCCATTTCCTTACTAAATTAGGATTTAAAAAACCACATTGTTCTGGAAGGGTCCATAACATGTCATGTTTTTCCCATCAATATAGCTTACAGGATGTAAGTAATTGCATCTTTCCTAATGACTTATTCCATGGCTGCTAATTTACATGGCATGCTTCGGACAAAGGATTATTATCTAATTGTTTTTCTGCTGTGTTATAAATAGCTAGAAAGACCCAAACAACTAAACCTAGAGTGATATGCAAGTGCAATCCACTTTATTAGAGGTGCCAGCTCATAGTAAGCATATTAATAGGAAGTTTAAGACTCAGTTTCTGCTGCCATAAACAATGCTACCTGGAAAAAGTATTGCTATCAAGTATAAATGTAAAAGCAACCAGATAAACTAGGAAAAACAGCAAAAATCCCTTAAACAATGCCTGCAGAACTTGCATAGAAGATTGTATGAAATGGAAAACTAGAATATCTCCAGGGCAAGAAAATATTTGATATTTGAAAATTGTACTACCAAAGAAAAACCAAAATAAATGAGAACCAAAGTGTAGCCTCATCTGCAGATTAAGAGGTAGAGAGAATACTTTTATCCTGTATTATGTTTATCCAACAGTCTATTTTAAATACATGATTGAGTGAAGGCTGAAGTTTATCTCTGGGTTCAAGAGTTAAGAAGTACTCAATTTTTCTTTGCTTATTACATTACAAGCTGCCATGCATGTTATTTTATGCTATATATTATGATATACATAATTTTTAATAGAAAAAGAAACAAAATAGAAACAAAAAATGTGTTAGAATAAAAGCAAAAGTCTTGGATGGCAGATAAAATAATTGGATTTCATGTAGAATTTTACTCCAAATTCCACCAATTAAGGATGCAGGATGAAAAGGGCTTTGCACTAAATTACTGCAAGTGTCAGAGTAGAATATATGGCAATTTAGCACAGAAAAATTCTGTAAGAGTGTGACAGTTGACATGAAGGGTAAAAGAAAAATTCAACCCATAAAATTACAGTGTAAAGGAAACTGTTACAGTAAATGTATAACACACTTTTCAAATATAGAGTCGCAGCACAGGGAGGATATAGAGTTGGCGTGGTTTGGGTCAGAAGCCCTGTTGATGAATTCTGACTAAGCTGCAGTCTGCCAATCGATTTGGCTCCAAGCCCAGCAAACCAAGGAATTACAGTAGTCAAGGCTAGATGCTGTAGTGAATGAATTAGAGTCTCCAGGTCAGTTTTGGAGAGGGAAGAGAATATTTTTGGCAACAGTCCTGAAAGGCATTTGGTAATGAGCTGAACAGAACTTAGCATTAAGTCCAAGGCTAAAATTGTGCATAGGTAAATGACATGTGACATTGGTAAAAGAAATGGTAGACAGATTGCAAAGAAATGAAACATGTATTATTTCAATTAATTTGAGCCAAACACTCATTCTTTTGATTATGGTACTGCTTACTTTCAAAAAAGAATCTGCCTTTCTCACTTTTAGTGCTGAAAACCTGCAGCTTCTCCCTGTTACTCAATTCACATGCCACAGACAGAGAAACAGATGTGATTGCCTTTGACTAGCACAGGAAAACATAAGAGCTGGAAATATCACCCTGGGGAAGACTGCAGATAATGCAAAGAATGGGTCCTAAAGTAAAGCATACCACAGCTGGATACATAAGCAAAGGCCATTACAGATTTGTATAATGAAGATACAGGCTTTGATAGCTCTGCAAAATGCCTCATCTGCCACTCTGCTTTGTTTTTGGTTTTGTTGCAGTTTTGTGTTTGGCTGTGTTTTTTAAAAAAACTTTTTAAAATTCATAGTTATCTGCAACTCCATCAGAGAAATTTGACCTGCATGCTGACCAGATGCCTGTAGGTTCCTTAAGACATGGTGTTAACACATAGCACGATAAAGGAGAAAACCATAGGAATTCACTATTATATCCCCAAATTCCACCTTTTTGGACAGACCAGAGAATCTGCAGTG